GGATCGAGTCTGTGCAACTGGTAGCACATCTCTCGGTGCACGGCCTTGACGGCCCGTCGCACGGTCGACAGAACGTGCGAGAACAGCGGCCAGCAGTTGTAAGCGACCACGACGATTATGATTAGATATTGTCGTACGAAATCCAGGAGGAGATCGAAGTGAAACGCGAAACACACGTCGTCCTCGTAGGTAGGAGTGCAGTCTCCGTGAACTGTCTCTTATACACATCTAGAGTTTTCTGCAGATGGACCATAGTGAAGTTCAACTTGGACGTTTCCTCGTTACCCGGCGTGCTAAGAGATTACGTTTTGAATACCCAGTGCTACACATTTTGAAAATAAATAAATAACAACAAAATAGACTATTTACTTTTTTTTCTTTTTGTATAGTTTTTTTTTTATTACAAAATTTGTTCTTTTTCTTCAAACATTGTTGTCGGATACCCTCCTTGCTCTGTAACTCGAACGTCCCTCTTTCTCGAACGGTCTGTATCTTCCGGATTCTATTTTTCTTCTGATGCAGTAAATACACGCACCGACGATTAGACAGGATACAACAGCTCCAGCAACGCCTATTGTGACGATTGCCGGTATGTTATCACGAAGATCGCCTGAATCGGATGCCAACGCACGTGCGTCTCGGTAGAACATCCATTGGCCTTTCCCGCCGATAAAAGCATCGTTCGCCGTGAGGTTTTCTTGACCGTGGCGGAAAGTTTTAGACAATTCTTCACGTTTATCAGGTTATGTGCTTCGCAATGCAAACTGTGTTTAACGCTTAACTTGTATGCGTTCGCCATCGAACAAGCTGCTGCTGTTGCAATCAGTAGACAGAAAAATTGGACTCTCTTCATCTCGGTATATTGCTCTGTAATGCTACTCTGGAGATTAACGTTCGATTCTTATACGTTCGAAGCGCAAAAAAAATGTTCTGCGTCATTCTATGCTTCTCGATCGTAGTGGCGGCTTCGTCTTTATCCTCCTCCTCCCTTTCCCCTCCTTCACCCGAGACCGTTTTTGGCCATTGGAACGATTTGAGCGGGGTGATCGACCGACACGTTACGTTTGTATTGGTACCAGATAACATCGGGTTAGATGATCGCGATGGATCGAGTTGCAAAATGTCTTCCTTGCAGAGTAGGATTTCGGGCCAGATAATCGCGTCACGCATTTCGATACGTCCGCTGTGCATCGAGGGAATCGTACTGGTGAACGGCAGTGGCGGCGGCAGCAGCAGCAGCAGCAGCTGTAACGCACTTTTGCTTACGGATAACGTTCGCCTGGAGCGGTTCGCGTTTCGTTGCGACGGATATTCGGGAAAACGAAATTCCAACTCGGCCTTCGTCCGGATGTCTGGCATTGGCCGCGTGAGTAACGTATCCTTGACGCGGCTCCGAGTGTTGGGTGGTGGTGGTGGTGGTGGTGACGACAACAACGGCGTGGTGAGCCTGGGTTTCCGTCCTCCTCCTCCTCCTCCTCCTCCGGTCCTCGTACACATTTCGGGTCTGTTGCCGGATAGAAAGTTTCACGTGCAAAATGGTACTTTCAGCTTTCTCGAAGGTGGGTCGGTCGTGTTCAGGAAGACGTCCGGTCGCGCAACGGTGATCAATGGCACGCTGGTGGTAACGGTCGACTGCCCCGACTTGATTCTCGATCTCTAAAGCGTAGATTTGATGGACTTCGATCTTTGGGGTGCTTCGTACTCCTGCAGTGGAGACCCGCGAGGCGAAACCGCATCGTGCAGTCTCGAACTCATTGCAGGTTGCGTCGGGTTCGTCGTGCTCGCCTTCTCCTGTGGGCAATCTGTGTCGCTGCCCGAATGCACGTTTCGAATCGCAAGGAGGCAGAGGATGCATTGGAATTCAGTCGACGCTGAACGTTTTAATCTTTTCGCGAAACCGCCGGCCGGAAGCGAGTGACCTCCCGGATCGAGTCTGTGCAACTGGTAGCACATCTCTCGGTGCACGGCCTTGACGGCCCGTCGCACGGTCGACAGAACGTGCGAGAACAGCGGCCAGCAGTTGTAAGCGACCACGACGATTATGATTAGATATTGTCGTACGAAATCCAGGAGGAGATCGAAGTGAAACGCGAAACACACGTCGTCCTCGTAGGTAGGAGTGCAGTCTCCGTGAATC